TAATTTGCTGTTGTGGCTAATTCGCATCCCTTACTTGCCCTCCTTTTTTAGCCACGCCTGATATTTCTGTATGCAAAATTCCGTGTGCTTTATCGACAGCTAAATTCATCAAAATGGCCTTCTACATACGCAACAGACAAGCTGTTCTTCGTTCGATATCGGAGGAGAATAAGTGGCTGGTTGTAAATTTGCTCGTCGGGATGTGCATTTTAATTGAATTGTAACAATCACTTCCTAGCAATAATGATAAACCATTCAGAAAATTTTTGCCGATCTATCACCTGTTCAGTTTGCCTGAGGAAACGCTGGCATGCTACTCGATAATAGGTTGTTTCGTTTGGAATTTTGTTATTATTATCCTTGAAGGATGTGTTTTCCTTGTGATTTGCGGGATTTCAGCACTATATCATATCATCATTATGTGTCGTTCATTCCTTTTCCTAAAACTGGGTGACCAAGTTGGAAGTGAGTGTATTGAGTGTATCGTCCTTAATGATGAAATCAAAGTTGTAGAGAAAAAGACCCCCTTGAATTCTCCGCCATGTGTGATTTACGGACCAACGATGTTCCACTCCTCCCTACTACGAGAACTCCCAGGGTTTCCTCGTCAGGGTGCGAATGCGGTTTCCATATCTTTGGAACAACCGGGTTTGAACAGCTCAGCTTCCGGGGATATGCTCAGGTCAATGCTCTCAACCAGTCCTAAGTTTTCTTCCAGTCCCTATATGCGACCAGATGGCTTTCCAGCTGCATTTGCTTCTATGGCGGATAAGAGTGCTTCTTTCTCAAGTCGATCAGCACACGCCCTGTGTTCCGGTAAGCCGTTTCTACCTACTTTGTGTTTGATACATGCATGTGCCTGAAGTTCATAGACTTGAGATTTGCGGTGAACATCCTAAAGTGACATTTTCTAGTGCCTTTATGTAACTTCGAGGTAGTACCACTTTGGGATTTTGTCCGTTTTCTGCCGATAGTAAACATGGTTGAATTTTTATATGGGCAGTTGTCAGTAAAAGTAAATAACCAGGCTATGAATGCCGGCGTTTTTGAGCTTTCCAGTTTTACAGTGACATATTTTGGGCCTAGTGGGCAGTACGGTAGACAGCAGATAACCAGACTACTAATGGGTGTGAAATGATCAGCGTACAGTAGGGAAAATAAATGTGGCCGTATAATAATGACACTCGTTCGGTTGTAACACCCTTTCGGTGCCTAGCTGGCATGCCACTAGAAGGGAGCACGAGGGCTAGGATACTGCCAGGTTGCCAAAGCCTAGACAGGGGAAGTCGAGAGGCAGAGGCCGTGTTCGAACCACGGACTTTCCGGTCAGTAAATTCGCGCTCTAACCACTTGGACCATCTCGCCCCGGGTCCAGAATGAAAACTACCCAAAGAACAATCAGTTCTTTGCATATGTAAACATGTCATGGGGCTTTGTCACTATGTACAGTAGAACGAAGGAGTGCTCTGCGACCGGGTCATTTGCACTGTCTTTCATTACTCGAAATTGTTTTCACGTTCACGTCGGATTTTATCTATTTGCCGCTGCTAGCAGCAACGTCCCTGGTTTGAACCCATATTTGACTTTTCGGCTGTTATTGTCTATGCTCGGGTTAACTGGCAGTTTCACACTGTTATACTTCGAGGTGCCCGGAACTATGTACCGAGCTAGTGTCACAGTTTGGGGTTATTGATTTTTATTATTACTGCTGCTATCATTATTAATACTATCACCATTGCTACTTATATCACCAGTATTACTGAACGGTTACGCTGTTCTCCAACAATAGTTTGGTTTTAGGTCGTTCAATGAAATAGCACGCTGCTCCTGTATTGTCACTCCTCGCTTATGTGGCTCCAACGATTGTATCCTATCCCGAAAACATCCCAAAAGCCTCTGTGGCGTTCAAGTGCGAGTTCGTTGGGTTCGTTAGCATGTAGCTTGCAAAAATTCGATAAAAGTGGTCAGAATGTTCCTGAATTTAGCAAGGTTACGAAACTGTGGTCACTAGGTTACGGCCTTACGACGCCCTAGAGTCACAAGCCGAATTTCAGCCCCCACCGGTAGTAGAATTTGGATTCTATATGTTGGATCAGGTCCCCATTTGTACTGTAGTTCCACCAGACATAACGCTTTCAACCTGCAGTCAAAAATCTATTCTGAAGCTTCATTGTAATCTAGAAAATAGCATCAGTGTGGGCCCCAAACCAATGCAACGAAGCTTTAACCACGCTGTATCTAAACAGCTTACGGTAGTCCACTGGGTCTATCCTCTCTGTTTGTCACTTCTAGCCGACGGCACCTTAATCAGCTCTGTGAATCCTGCAAGCAGCAGCTGTGGGGCTTTAATGACCCATTTTGTTGGGTGTATCATCTGACATACTCCTCCAGTCACGCAATAACAATCAATAAATAATTGTTCAGTTATAAGCACCCTTTCGCTGCTTAGCTGTCATGCCACCCGAAAGAACTATGAGGGCTGAGATACTGTCAGACTGTTCAAGCCTAGACAGGAGCAGTTGATCTACAGAGGTTGGATTCGAACTACGGATCTTCTGCTCAGTAGGTTCGCGCCTTAAGCACTGAGTCACCTCGAGCTCCACTGAGTTGCCTTGAGCTCATAGTCCTCATTTTTGAACTTTGTGCATGTGTTGAGTTTTTTTCAGGTGTGGGTTTTGGTTCCTAAATCACATCGAAGTGTTGGTGGTTTGGATGCATTTATTGGTATTTGATCGACTGTCTATCAGTCTGTTTCCAAGCTTTGTAGTTAGCTTCCAAATGTTCAGTAAAGGAGACGTCATCATTGTGCGCAGTGATAATGTCTCCTGGATTGGTTATGAATGATTTGCAAGGTAATTGACAATGTCGGCAAGAAAGTCGACGTTCACCAGTAAATCACGTGTCCTTCCTGCTTCATCAACTCTTACTTATACGCTTCTTGGTTTATATCGGGACCAATTTGTGGTGTTTTGTGTATCAGGCGATGGTGTTTACCCACCTGCGGTTTTTATTTCAGCATCTTTACTAGATATTGCTTTAAGCCCAATTGCCGGTCCACCAGTCCTCGTGTCAGATACGACAGAGCTTGGATACCGATTATCTAATTCTACAAACATGTTCCAGTCAACGACTTGGTCCTCCCCACGCTGGTCGTCAGTTCCACACCAACCGTTGCAGTATCAACTTTCCTGTTCCACTTCAGCATGTTCCGGGCGAAGCTGGCTTGAAGACCCGAAACAGAAGTCCGCATCAAGTCTAAAGACTTCACTGTCGGATCTTGGTTTCTTAGACACTCGCTATTCACGTCAAAATCCACGCGAACAACCAATGGAACGGAGCTCTGATGAGGTAGATACGACTCTGTCATTTACTTGGGTTACCTCACTGACAGTTGCTGTATTTCCTAAGCTATTTAATCAGTCAGAGGAACGATTGCACTTCGGTTCATGACCTACATCCCCACCTTCACTTTAAAGTTGAAATTCTCATACATCATTCTGTTTTTTGTTACTGACTTACACTTTATTCCATAATTCATTGACTTCCGTTTGCCAGCGTTGACTGTAGAATTCCCGACCATAGCTGTCAGTTGATCGCCGTCTGTTCCAAAAAGCACAGTGGCCTTCTGTGCCTGTGCTTATTGAAAACATACGTCTCGACGCAGAATGGAGTATGTCGTTAGCTTTGTGAGGTCTCGATCCAGTTTCTGGCGTCATTTTTTAAAATGTTCTAATGCTCTCTTTGTGCGTGAATAATCGGATTTTGGCTTAATAGCTGACCACCGTCTCTGTTGCTGTGTATAATGGTTATCGCACAAGGTAAATCTATGGCTGAGATCCTCGAACTCTGCTGCCATTCAATCGTGTTGCGGCAGTGCGCTGAGGTTTAGTTACCACCGCTTATATCTGCTAAGTTAGGGTCATGAGTGTAATATTCGCACCACGTAGGACCAACAAGAGGCTGAGTTGTTGCAGCTAACTTGTTCGGGACGGTAGTCATTCGTCCAATGGCTAAATACAGTCACATTTACACTACGAGTTGAATTGTTAATCTATGGCTGGGATCCTCGAACTCTGCTGCCACTCAGTCGTGTTGCGGCAGTGCGCTGAGGTTTAGTTACCACCGCTTATATCTGCTAAGTTAGGGTCATGAGTGTAATATTCGCACCACGTAGGACCAACAAGAGGCTGAGTTGTTGCAGCTAACTTGTTCGGGACGGTAGTCATTCGTCCAATGGCTAAATACAGTCACATTTACACTACGAGTTGAATTGTTGTACAGAACTCGGTGCGCGTGTGTAAATGCAAATGTAAATGTAAATGTGTAAATGTGTAAAATGTACTTACGTGATCGCGTTGAAATAATTATTCAACAATTTGGTGTTATGTACACGTGTAGAGTTGTGTTTTAGCCGTATTTTTTTAACCGTAGAATAGTATTTGACATCCTCGCTATCCGTGCTTATGGGCTTCTTACATATGATTTCAAATAAATACGTCACTACCAATCTTGTGACTCTCTTACGTACTTTCAAACTTGATGTATGATGGACTGATATATCCTGGCGCATTGATGTCATTAGTGTTACAATCTGTTGTGTATCCTTCTGTCTCAGAATAATAAGGTAAAAACCATGAACGGACGAAAACCGAGCGAGTGTCTTATGTATGGGCTAAGTTTGTTCCAAGTCCACTTTATTATCAGTGGGCAGTTTGTATACCAGTTACAAAATCTCGGGTCAAGTTGTAGTTAGACGGCAGTCTCATTACCCCATGATAGTGTTTTCATTGTCTTCTGTTGTAAGGATCTAGTTTTCAATAGTCTGAGACCATGTACACTAAGCAGGAGGTTTGATCGTGTCTCCTGTCAACATTTATTGATCGCTTTTGTTTTGATTTCCTTTCCCCATCTCATTTCTCCGGTAGATTACCTGGACAAATCGCTTTCAGAATATTGCCACAGGCAGTTGCCTTCTCGGGACAACTTTCCTAGCCCAAATTAATTATAAGGGATATCACTAACAGAATCACAAACGTAGGAATACAAATTCGTTTTCGAATTCGTCGGCAAAATGTTTAAACAAATTCAACCGGTAACGGTTTCATATTGAATCGGTATTGTATTCACTCCCTAGTTGTTTGGACATTTACATTAAAAACCGGCTTTCTGCCCCTTTAGCGCCATTGTTGGTTGACCGCTTACATACAGGCCAGTTGGATGTTGGATGAAATTTCCGGTTTTTAAGCGTGGAATCTGTGCAGTTACCTCAATGAGGGTAAACGCCTTCTATTTCGCTTTATTTGTATCAACTCGAACATAATGAATTGCCGTTGGTTGCAAATTAAGTTGGTGTTAATGGAAGACATAACAGAAGCCCATCTGAAAATCTCGTCTATGTTGTTTTTCAGTTGAATGTACTGCACGAAGGTCGTTTCTTCCAGCTGCTACGATATTCAAGACATCGAAGTATATTTTCCTGGCATAACGTACTACTTTTAAGGCCACTGAAAACTTTTCGATAATCCACTTACAGTTTCCCTCTTATTTGCGGGTCGGGTACTTAACCCAGAGTATTCGCTACTGCCGACAATCGCTTCTAAACCAATAAGTTTGAAGGGCCACAATATGTAACCATTCTCGCGATCGTTACCCTACAGCCGTCTGTCCTTCCAATTCCTATACACTGTTCTAACTCGAGTTCTAACGTCGAATTTCAGTACTGGAACGAAAATAAGATAACTGCTTCTTGCTTGGCTCAATGGACAATGGATCTACGAAAAGTGAGTCCGGTTATTGCGTATTAATATCAATGGCTGTTTGTCTTTTCTTGCTAAATGAACACTACATGATTCTCATTCTTTTTGTATTCTTAACTGCTTGATGGTAATTATCTAGTTTCAGCGTCCGGCAGTCTAATGTTTGGCTTGATTCGTCCAAAATTGGCGCGCAGTTCAATGATAGCGGTGATGCACCCGCCTGGATCGAATCCATACATTTTCACAAGAGGTTGACTTGCATGTTTTCACTAAGGTTTCACTCGATGGCTGACTGTGCAGCTCTTCAGGGATGATGCCGTGTCATCGTTTCTGTTTTGCTGCGTACACTGTTGACGAAACAAACGTTTCATGCGCTTGCGGTATCCGGTCCGTCTGCGTCCAGGTTGCTTTTGTGCGAAATATGTTAGCAAAACATCAGTGTTTAAAATGAGTATCATCATCAGTGGTGACAATGTAAAGAACGACAGAGTTACGCGTGCGTACACTGCGTTTGAGGAGACAGTGGGGAAGTTGTTTGTATACCTCACACGCCACTTTACTCGCCCAGTCACTGAAAACCACTAGCCTGGTATTTAGACCGTAGCTCTCCGTTCCTCACAGAAATACGTGTGGCACCCAAATACAAACAGCCAGCACTTTCCGACCGTGAAATTATTCGGTCGGAAGAAATCTATGGTAAAGTGTTCAGTTTGTCATTGGTCCGAATGTCAACCAATGGATACCACAACCACTTCACGAAGATGGTATCGAAACGTTCTGGACACACTTTCTTATCCAGCATTAACTATTCAGTTAGGGAGTATCGCATGAAAATTTGTTGTGATTCGTTCCCACGCCTCGGGTCGATAGTTGATGTTGTAAGGCAGCTTTTTCTGGGAACAAAACTACCGGAAGATGTTGTCCGTGTCGCTAGTTGTCTCATGGATTCGTTATGGCCTCTGGCTGACTGTTTGCAGTGCAGTGACTTTTGAATCAGTTTCAGTTCAGCTATAAACCGTTCATGGAACCACTGCTGCAGTTTTGGTCATTGTAACGACGTGCCATGTACTAGGTAAGTGCTGAGGCTCACAACTAGGTTGCTTCTTCTGAAATTTTCTGTCTTCTTCCGTTTTACTCCGAGGTCTTGTCAATTATTGAGAATTTCAACGATTGTTTCGCCGCGTTGGTATCAGTCAACTTTGAGGTAGCTAATAATATTGATGTCAATGGGAATTCCAGTAGCAAATTCTGCACACCCAGCCTCTTTGCCATGATTGCTAAACAGCTTACTGAAAATACCCATGGTATTTCAAAATGTATTTCACCAACGTCTGTCTTCGATGAAATCTCAACTGGGAAGCGAAGCTATGAGTATGAAAAACACCATGTACGACGGTGGAAAAGTACCGTCTAGTTGTGTCGAAATATAAGCTTGTTTTAATTTTTTTTCCAAGACAGCATCAGTGCTTCACGTGACGTTTCTGATGGCGCAGGGTAGGTTGGCGCGCAGTCACGAGCGATCGTTTCGGCCGTTGAAAATGTATGGATGATGACCTTGGAGCGTTGAACGATTCGGCCACTTGATACGGTGGTCTGTATCGATCGAACGAGCCCCGTTCGCACGTCACGTGCTTGATTTTGCGGGATCCACTGCACCATGAGCAATTCTCAACTATTTCAAGCCTAAAATGTTGCGTTCAATTTTACTCAAAAATATCAGTTAAAACAAGTTCACTGGTTTACTATTGTTTCACCATCACTTTGTCTGAAGTTTGAGCTATTGAACATATATCGTAGAAGTGCCCCTAAAATATAAGATCGGTATCGGCATGGTGACAATCGCTTGGCTTATACAATCGCAGGCAATATCAGTCATTTCACATAGGATTACATTAGTAAAAATGGATATATCATCCAAAAGAGCACATCTGTCCGTTACTAAGTTTGACGTTTCGAATGCAATCAACGAACTTGAACGTATGTTTTAGAATATGGATATACTTCTGTTTCCGGACAGGTTCAATCATACTCTTCAGCGAACGAGCATCTGCGTGATGGGGGTCACTGCTCGCTTCTAGTTTGGGATGTATTGGACAGCCTTGCTTGTGCATCTTTAGGAGCCACTAAACACGAGGACCACTTGCCCCACAGGATTCAGACGTTCGTACTACGATTTGAAATGACCACTGTTTACCAACCTATTTAACCGTCATTTTTCGTCTAGCCTCTCCTGTGCTTGCAGAAACTTATTCCCGTTGGGGACATTCTAATATAATTTATCTTATTGAAGAGGACCATATCCGAGTCTGTGTCTGGTTTGTCTGTAACCGTATACGTCTCCCAGAGCCTGTAGGCACTTTGAGATTATGGGGCTCTTCTGAAACACTGGACTTCGTCCGTATTGATAACATTATTTAAGTCCGTCTGGAGTTGAACTAGGCTATCAGCTGGTGTTGGCGCCCATTTGCTGGTCTAACCTAAATGATCTCCAAATATTCATAACATTTTTATGGTGATTGATTCACTCATTCCTACCCATGACCACCCTCGCTACTCATGCTCTACCCACTCAACAACCCACTTCACTCCAGACGGTGAAGCCGACATGTTTCAGTTTGTTGACTACGCTAACTCGGAGTCTGGATCTTGCTCTCTCTAGGCGGATATATTCACATTTGACGGTCGGGTCGGCTGTGTATATATGCAATACTAACGAAACATAATTAAGTGTCTGAACCTTTGAAATTTGTAAGAATAACATGACTGAAGTAAATTAGTATTGCGTAGAAAGAAAGAGGAGGAATTCTGTCGGTTCCAAAATCTTCTATATGCACTAAGCAACCTTACAGAAGATATAGGGCTTCCGAAACGATCACACTCAAAAGGGGAATCTTGTGTCTCGGCTTAGAAATCACTTCAGTGGTGACCGCTTGCTCAAAAGCAATAAATAGGGGACTGGTCCGCAACTTTTGTTATCTGTCCTTTCGTTTGTGAATCTGACACAAACTACCTGGGTCGTACTACTCGGCGCCTGTTTCAGAGAATTTTCGCATTGAGTCCTGCCAAGTCAAGCACTTCCTATACGCGACCGGGCTCCTTTAATCGATACAGTCCACCATGTCACCCCAGGCAAATCGTTCAACGCCATAGGTTTATACGTCGAAACACATTCCCAATGGTTGAAATGATCGCTATTAACATCCGCCAACCTTCCTTCTGGCTTCAGAAGCTTCACGTGAAGCACTGATGGTGTCTCGGTAAACCAGTCGCTCCTTTGAGACTAATTTCGTCTACCCGCCAATATGTCCTTGGGTTTACTTGGTACCCGGTGTTCTTATGAATCTGCGTTTGTCGCAAAGCAGTTTGTTCCTCTCCAGGATTGACGCAACTCATTGTCGCAGGTGAATTGCCAAAAGGACACTAATCTAGATCTGCGGAGACGGAATGCTTGCCCGAAGAAGCTGAAAGCTATTCAAGTGATGGTCCGAATTAAACCGAAAACTTCATATAGCAAGTGGGACTTACAAAAACACATTGCCGTTAGATTCACAGCTCGGTGGATAGTAACCTGATCTGCCTTCTAAGGTGCTGGAACTTGATAACATCTCTGACCTGGCAAAGGTCAGAATGTGGTACGTCGTCAGTCGGCCTTCCGGATACCTACGGCAGCCTTTTTTAGTGTAGGTAACTTCAACCACGATGGTCATACCTCTTTTACAAAAGCGCATTACTGCTGGCCTAAGGGTGATTGAAGTGATCCTCCAATATAAATTATTCCGTGTTACCATGATCATCATGCTAATTTTTTACCGTGTGGCGGCCGTAGCTGTGCACTCGATTCCCTATGTGCTACCCACAATGTTGTCAGTAGTGTGAACATAAAAGCACGTGGCGGTCAAAGCACCTATGGCGCTGTCGAGTCGCGATTGCGCACTGACCACACCATGGGGAAACTGCATGATGAAACCGAGTTTCTAACGTGGCTTCCTCAGTTTGTTCCCTAAAGCGTTCAAGCATGAACAACAGATTGTGTCACGTGGAAAAGTTAGGAACAGCCCCTCCTAGGTGAAATTGTAGAGAGACGAACTAATCCAACTCCGAGTCATCCCTGTTTATCGAGCCGCCTGCATGTAGACGTCCGATTTCCGGAACAGCGTTACATGCAGTAACGTAGTCAGAGCCTGTCGAAAGACAGTCAACGCATGTACAATCTACTTCTTCTTTACTACCAACAGACACGCTTGGTTAATTTATTCGCGGATGACTGATTCCCTCGCTTGAATAAAAAGAATAAATTGGTTAGTGGTGTCAGACAAGCCAGTCGTAAGTTTTCCAGAGGAAACTGAGGGATCCTCCGTAAAACAAGACTTCAAAGGATAATTTCTAAAGCCATAACGCATAGTTCCTGTGTCGCCGAAATAGTATCGTCAAAGTACACAATGGAGAGGAAACAGGGTCTTTGAAGAGGTGAGTGATGTGAAGGATCCAAGCGAACAAAAGTCACCATAGAGGGATGAAAGGATAATCTCAAGGCTTCCCGGAAATCTGAAGGTCTGAAAACGAGTCAACCAAAGAGCCAATGCTCATCCAAATGATCTATGATTGACCAGGCTTTCAAGAGGTGAGGCCCTATATCGAACCATACACTTCCACTCACAATGCAATGATGATCTCGCCTCGACTGATGCTGAAACGATTGCATCCAAATTGCCTAGCTCTGAGAACGAACCAACAGCCATCCTTACAACAGAGTTGTGCTCTTGTGCAAGTGAGAATCGGACTCTGCCTTGTAGGAAACAAAAACATCGACCCTCAAAACGCATCAATGGCTTTCAAATCAGGCAGGGGACTGAAACCAACCCTTCTCACCCAACCGCCCACTGAAGTTTTCTTGATTGGTGGCGAGACGTTTGTAAGCTAATTGCTAATCTCGGCAAATGGATCAACAGTCACCTGATCAAGCGCCACTCAAATCAACCTTTCGTACAGTAGAACAACATATGTGACAGCCAACTATTTGTGTGGTTCAGTTGCTCGCCGAATTCCACCGTCACACCATTGCCTGTTTCGTTGACCCTCCCACTGCCGATTCAGTGTCAGCTAAAGACTAACCTCCGCCATAAAAATTCATCAATTATCAACGAAGTCACGAATCAGGTTTACAGGAAGATATCTCTGAGTTTTATCTCGGTTTTAGGCAGGGATGTCCCTTATCACCAGTGTTATTAAACATCGGTGGTGCACTGGAGAGCTACTTCTAAGTCCACATGGGGCCAACCATTTGATTGCAGACTTCGAGCATATCAGTGATGCTCGGTGAAAATGCAGCTGCACAAGCTGGTCGAGTTAGCTACCATACATGACTCATCGAACCTGCGGTCAGCACCAGTTAGACAAAATTCTGAACACAAGCAAGTGCTCAACGGAAAAACCTTCGCATAGGGGCCTGATACTGCCAGTCTACCTAACGGATAAGCTAAAGTAGATAATCAAGAAACGCCTTTTTGCAGCTTACGAAAACTTTGCACACGATGCTCCCTCTATTCAAGCAACCGTCTGTTGCAGCCCTTTAGTTACGGTTATGAAAACTAGTTTTTTAATGGTTGACATTTGAGGTGCCTCCTGGACACTCACTGATTCGACCGCAAATCTAGGCTGCTGGTTAGAGAACGCTGCTTCCGTATGGCATATCTCGGAACTACTGAGTCCGCAATGGCCCTAATGCGTCGATCATATTACCCGGAAATCTGAAAGGAAACTATGCAAATCTTGCACTGTCATGTGCCAGGATAGACATCGAAAACTTCAGTCAACCGATCAAGGACTAATGTCGATATAGTGTAGACGCGTACCTCTTGGCACCTATATTAGATTTAACTTGAGCTTTTCTCGTTTCGCCTGTGACATTGCGTTGTCCTTCCTTCGCTTTTTGTTTCTTTATGGGTGATCTGGAGACTGATGACCGGAACCATCGTATGGGGTCGAAAACCTGATCAGATGTTACACTCACTTGCAAATTAAGTCTGGGTATACGGGAGACTCAACGGAATCCCAACTGAATCTCTCGTTCATGGTATTCTTCCATTGGGTTTACTACAACACTGTTGGTTGTGCGACCTTCGAAGTTTCATTTTGAATTTTTTCGCTCATCTTTCATTCTACTGCTTTTATATTTACCTGTCATTCAGTGGCTTCATGGAACGATTGTTCGGCGGTTGGTGGATGAAATTGCGGCAGTTAATCGTCACTTCAATGAAACTTCAGGAGAGGAAGTAGCGATCGGCTGTGAGTTCTCACTGTTTGACTGAGCTCAAAGCTCCCTGTTTTTTTCAGTCAAGGAAACCGTATCCTGACTCACTTATATCAGCATGACGTTAGTGGTTCCTTATATTCGTATAGCAAGCGTTCTTTCTAACTGCACATTCAGTCCTTGTGACATTTTGCAGCGTTGTCATACGTTTATACTGCCTAACTGAATCAAGGGTGACTGGTGAATAATCTGTTTTCTTTAGGTTTGTAAATAGAATGAATTCAGAAACGTGTATCTGAATGAAATTTTACCGTACGTACCGAAAACACGTGTATACTTGAAAATATCAGCACGTGGAAGATTGGCTATCCCCCCTTATTTGACCTTGACTGACATGATTAACCTTGACTGTGCTGACGTGTTAATACAGGAGAACTAACGTCCGCTGAATTATTGCGGGTCAACTTTGTTCAGGTTTCGAGTTTTAGTCGTCATGCTCTGCAGACTAAGTTTTTGAGGAAATCTCTTGAAGATTTGGTGGATTTGGAAACACTGCAGTGTGGCAGATGCCGAAGACCAGAATTACGGTCGTGACATTGGAACAGCTCATAGATGTTTCTCACTAATGAAGCTATGAATCTGTTTTTTACCCACTGGAAGGAATCGGCTCACTGGAACATATGTGAGACTGATTCTGAAACTGTTAGCATCAAAACTGAGTGTTACAGGTCAGTACTAGAGGATTTACAATTTGTGACCGAACCTTTGAATAGTGAATTAATATTTTGATCAAAACAATGTCTTCTTCACACGCAGCAACAACACTTGAAACACTCCAGCAGCTCTGTTCCACTAAATACCAGTATCTTCCTACCTTGCCCGTCCTGTTGTCATTCCTGGAGTTCTCGAAGGATCACGGATATTTGGTTAACCGATTGAAAGGTGGGTCTCTGGTCTTTCTTGTCTAGCCTTTATCTGCATGGTTCCTGGTGTACATTCGTTAGAAAGAAACGGCGAATCAGTGTGTTACTCCGTGGATCGCAGACCTAATACTTGGTCTTTCCAGAACCTACACTGTCGGTCCCAGGTCACTAAATAAAATAATCGTTCAGCTGTAGCAGCCTTTCGGTGCCTAGCTGCCATGCCACACCAAGGAGGCACGAGGGCTGGGATACTGTCAGGTCGCCCAAGCCCAGGTCACTGCAGTAGAAGTACTCACAGTGTACCTAATTCCTTGGTAAAAAACATGTTGGTATACACAGTAAGGTCAGCATTGACGGCAATCCAGTCTTGCCTGTAGCGACGGATACCTCTGCTGTCAGACCGATCGCTTCAGCCGTACAACAGGTGTCCACCTCATATAGTGCTTGGGAGTCACTTCCTCAGTTGTCTTCTTTCCTGGCACGACGGTTACGTTGCTTAGCCATGATGCTGTAGACCAGATGTGTACACTATTGTTTTCGATGAACATGAAAACTCATTCACATTCACAATACTCGGACAGTTCGACTGAGGTTAAGCATGCATGTTCTACGTCTGTAACGTCTGTCTTGTCTAACACAGGTAATGGACGTACAGTTGTTGCTATTGTGAATACAGGTCAATAATATATCGACCCAGTGGTTAAATGATGTTCCTTATCTCGTTTGATTCAGCGAGCCTGTGTTTTCCTGTTTTGCTCTGCCGAGGATGGTCGCCCAGTAAAAATTTGTACCTCGTGATTGATGCTTGAGTACTACTTAGTCTCATTAAGATAATGTAGGTCGACTGGTGTGATTATACAACCATGGTTTCTGGTTCTGCTGGCTTACCATTTCATGCCAGGATCTTTTTAGCACAATGCTCGGAAAGAAAACATTCCCGCCCTTAGTATTAAGTGTTTCTTCATCGGTAATTTGGAGGCTCGCGTGAATTGTTTCTATCGGTTAAATACATCACTTCTGAGTCTATTGAAGATAGAATTACTATGAAAGAATGAGTGGTCCTAGTCTTCTATGACGTATGTGCATGTGTGACCGTTTTTTTGTAGTCTTCTATGACGTATGTGCATGTGTGACCGTCGTGTTTTGTAGGTTTTGCTTTTTTTTAGTTTTTTCCCCAGCTTCACACATTTTACCGCGTATTAGGTTCAGTCTATCATCTCGCTGTTTAGATCTCATTGGATCTCAGATTTTGGGATCCAGAAAATTCCAGTTACATTGTGTCTCTCGTTCTTATTGGGACTCATCACTAGTTACACCTATTTCTTCCTGCGTAGAACTAGCTCGTGGGAGTTGTCTTGAGGATTTTCGTTGGGATTCCGGTTCACGAAGTTCTTCTTGGCCTTGGAAAGAACATCTACCCAACGACAGCCTGGTGGGTGCATTTTCCAATTTTGCAGACAGTTATGTTAGTACACCCCTTTGCATCGGGACAGTTACCCTAATTTCTTTGAATTATAACCAACTCTTGCTCCTTACCCAAACGAAGTGTATCATGCGCTTTTTCGATTCCCTCTCCTAATGAAAGACGAGGCCGCTTCGACTGCATCCATCCGAATGTGCCATACATTGAGTTAATTCTTTCCCACGTATTCTGCGTTGTGTCGTTCCACCATACTGGTTGACTAAGTTCAAGGTGAACGAGCACAGTCCCACACCCACCACCTGCCAATTGGATCATTACACTGGAACGAGAAACACACTCATTTGCAAATCAATTTGGTTTTCACGAGAAACTCAACTGGATCTCTCGTTTATGATATTCTACAACTGAAAGTGCTGCACACAGGCCGCCTCATGTTTCAGTTGGCACGATTTTCGAGATATCGCAGTATATTTTCATAAAGGAAACCACTCACAAGGTTGCTGAAAACTCTTCGACAGCTAACGACCGGTTTCGCCCTTCTTGGGGCTCATCAGGTAGGCGCAGTCCCCGAGTTTCCGTCAACCCTATGTTCTACTTGAACCCAAATTGGACTAATTTTGAAAAATACACTCGTTTGCAAATCAATTTGGTTTTCACGAGAGACTCAACTGAATCTCTCGTTACTCATTATCATCTATCATTCAAGCATGACCATACAAATAAACAGGATGGTTCTTCTCACTCTCTTCGCCAAGGCTTTAGTTCCCAATATTCGTGGTCTACCCAGTGTTACTCATGAACTTATAGTGAATACCCGCTTCTGGGCTATCGACTCCACTAATGCTTTCGTTTTACAGGTGAGGTTTTTGTTTGCTCTCATAGTCCTTTCTCTGTTTCCCCTTAGTGGCCTGATGCGTTTCTTGTAAATCAGATTCCAAACAAATATTTCGTTGTTTTTCGATGTCTGAATGGCAGTGATGCATCATAGCTTCTCCATCCCCCAAGTAATAACTGCGATGCTACAGTCACCCTACTTCTGAGCTGTAAAGTGTCTGTGGCTTCGACTTGTGTGACACTTTGGATTTTTCACCTGACAGACACTAGCCCAGCAGGCCGGAAGGCAGATCTTTGCAATTACGAATAACATATCCCAAATCGTCTCCTTTCCATATCGAATTCCGGAACAGGACGGCGAATATCAGCAGACTCTTGGTCTGTTCTTAACTACCTTGCCGCCTCGACTCGTACTCTGTGAGCTTCCCCGATCGTTGTTTATCCTCATCAGTTCCGTTCGCCCCTTATCTCTTCCACTCACCCGGGATGTTATGCATCAGCTATGTTCTTATTCATGGGAAGTTCAAATCTCTAATGATTTCCTTGCTTCGTTGAGAGCATTATGACCGTCCTTTATGAAAGCCGTTCTATTCGGTCAGTTGTAGCACCCTTTCGGTGCCTAACCGACATGACACCAGAAGGAAGCGCTAGGGCTGGGTGACTGCCTGGTTGCCCAAGCCTAGACATGGGAAGTCGAGCGGCAGGGGTCAGGTTCGAACCACGAACCTTCCGTTCAGTAAATTCGCACTTTAACCGCTAACCCACCTCGCCCCTTTATGAAAGTATGCTGCTCCAAACCTGGGATACCCTCCTTCCCTGAATGGTTTAGTTGCGTGTTTTCGTGCGTTGGCAAAACGAGTCGATTGTTTGAACGCTAGCAAATGCATCCATCTCCAAGCTCGTTCTGATTGCTCGTGACTGTTTCCGCACCTCCACGCGCAAGACCGCAGATATATTTGTTAATCACAAGTTCGATTACAAATAACTGGTGCACCAGCTTGGATTGTTATAAAATTCGTCGGACATAATTCCTGCTCATCCGCCTTTCCTTTCATTCATGACTCCCGTGGAGTCATTTTGTCCTTACCACAGGAAGTATCTGAGATTTCTACTCGGTATGTTTCAGTGACACTCTTGAACCGTAAGAATATAAGCTAGACAACCAAAACTGTGTTTTCAGAAGACCGTGTATGCAGTCTGTCGAATATACCTTTATGTACAGACTCCTCAGTGATCCGATACTTTGCTCGATTGAAGGTTCCTGACGGACGTGGTGATAGTCGAACACTGGGGGTTGTATTCATCTTGCATCGTGCTCTCACTGACGATGTCTCCGTGTATGGTGACCAAGCATTGCAACATCATTGTTTATAGCAACACAACCTTCGCCTACCATATTGTTGCGCCAAGGACCAACCATCAATACACCCTACCAGCGACCAATAACACACCAAAGCTACCTACGCTTAAGATTTATCACCTATGACAGTACGGTTGCTTGCTGTTGCCTGCCTATCTTCCTTGGCCCCTCTGGCGTGTTTGGATTTTGAGAGATGAAGTCCCAGCAGGTGTAGCCCATGGCATCATTGTGACACAGACTCGCGAGCACTTCACCAGGATGCAGCTTGTGATCATTGTACTCATACCACGCTTTCTGATGTAATATTTTAAAAATGGAAATTTTTATGCTTCTTTGATTATTTCTTTATGACCCGTACTGATGGTTCTTTAATTATCCTACCTACCTTGACCGTTCTCACTAGATTCTTCTACATTTGTTCGCAACCTACATGGATACACGTATGCCTGCGCATCCCAAGTGTCTCACTGGCCGTGTGTTCAGTCAACTGTGTATTGTTCGTCATCCAGACAAGCCCGGTAGGTTTTTGGCATGTCACTGAGCTGCATTCCTTCTCCTCTTACAACAACCCAGCCTGTGGTACTCATATGTTTTTCTGCTCTTCTAGACCTGAAATCCAAGTTCAACTCTCAACTCTATCAAGTCACAGTTCAGCCCCCGCATTTCAAGCTTGTTCTGGATGGAAAAATATACTCTTTTCAGCCAGTAAGGCCAAACCTTACCGTGATCATATTATTTTTCAGGGTCCCGATAACTTGTTCCATGTCATCCTGATGTGTTTCCATCATGCTCTTAAGTTGGACGGGAAATTCAGGTGAGTATAGTGACTGTTTGTAAATGATATTTTCCCCCATACTGTGGAATGAATTTCTCAAAACCCAAGAAGCCGCTGAGGGTCTCCCAGAATAATTTTCCTCGAGAGCATTACCCCCACTGACTAGCGAAGTTAGTGGACTCTTGCGTCACTACTATGAAACCATGATAAGTCCGCATAAGTTAAACGTCATAGAGCTCTGCAGAGTGTGATCAGTGCTAGTCTACCTGCACCTTGTGCGTCGTGCTTGAATATTGTATCAAAGCAAGACCAAATCGACACCAGGTGAATGGCAATTAGTTGGGAGTCGATGAATGTTGAATTATGGATGTATTACATCAAAAAGGCAATCCGCTTATGATTCGTGGAATTGCTCGCCGATTTGAGTCGAATCTAGTCGAGGAGAGTTCGTTAATTTGGCAGGACAGTATATCACCATTACTCACCACTCTCATCCGGTGTGAGAGTGGACTAAGAAGTGCGAGTTAATTGCGCGTTTATTTTTCTTGTTGTTTCCTAGTTGGTCATGAATATGCTATTTGGGGACTTAGAAAGCAGCTTTTCTTTAAGTCTTAGAAAGACGGTTTCTTCGAAGGGTGAATTGAAGCGTCAAAATTCCACCTCATCCATGTCTCTGTGTACATTAAGGATATTGCTACGCACTACAGACGATTTTCTCCAAAGCCAAACTAACTGAGGGGGACGAAGTCGTGGTCGCCATTGTACACAGCTAGTTTTGACCATTCATCTAGCTCGGTGGGTGTTTGTTGCTGTGCCTGAACACCAGGTTATGCGGCTCCCCTCTCAATATGGTAGCTCGGTACTGTAAGGCTTCAACCCTGCAAATCTTGTTCTTTCACCGTCCTAGCCCTCATTTGGTTGTTACCCGTCGTTTCATCTTCATTCTCGGTTGTCTGATTGCACGTCGGCATCAACCGCTCATCGCTCAAACCTGAACTATTTTATTCTCCCGTTGATCCTTCACTTGCCGACTTTTTCTCTTTTCAGGTCCATTAATCTTGGCCCGTCTGGTTTGAATATGGCATGGATTTTTACACCGAAGTAGTTTTCACGGGTCACTTTTAGGCTTTATAAACATACCTGAGCTTCCATTACGTGTAACAATCCCATTCCCCAGTGTTTTCTCCCTTAATTGTCAAACTAGAGCTTTTTGTATGAAAAAATATGTATTGTTCTGGTACCTCCGGTTATTTTTATTCACTAAGCAACATATTGTAGATGGCAGTGAGGCATCAGTGCCAACACTGATGTTGCTGTCTTTGTTGTTCGTATATTGTAGACCTTCAGGCGGCGTCAGTGAAGCCGTCATACTCTATTTCCGAGGTGCCTTCGAGTGCGCCACAGATTCTTATTCAAATAATCCCTGAAAATCAAACTTGTATACCGAAATTACTGTCTCGTGAACGTCAGTCGTGGAACGGATTGTTTGTTGAGTCGTGTGGTGCGATTGACTAGTTATAATCCAAACATTTTCCAGGGAATTTTTACGAAATAAAGTACTGCTACTAACTATTTAAATAAACCCCGGAGTTCAGTAGAAGCACTAATAGAAGCACTAGAGATGACCAGCAAAGACTACTTGTGCGTTATCATGTACCCAAATAGTTTTTACATGATGTGCATTGACCAATGAGTCTATTTTTTGTATTCTCACGTTTTTATTTCTGAATTGACAGACGTAAAGGCTCTCATGGCTGGCCTTGTGGTCTGAGGACACCAGGCAACTAAGGCTAAGCCACTGGGTTAAAAGCACTTTCTCGTGATCGACGGCCGGCGAAGTCTTCTTATCCAGAGGTCACCATTGGTTCTCTAAATCGACGTAGTTACTTCTTCCGAAGAAAACTAGCTAGATTTTAAACGTGAAACCAACGTCGAGGGCTAAAGTGAGGTGACTATTGAAAAATGACCAGCGATCTGGATGAGCGATTAGCCGACTGGTATGCTGGTGCAGCGGATTGGACGCTGAAATGTTACCTAGGTCGTAAGCGTGAAAGGAAACATCAATCAACGTGTTTGGAGGCTTAGTCAAAGCTCATGTCCTTGTACATTGCACATCAAAGCACCAAGTCTCTTCATATACAAAGAATAAAATAGCTTATTAATTGAACAAGCGAGGAAAACCGACAACTGTCAAGTGTAATCAAGGAGTGCATATTGGAAGCAACACAACCGTGCTTTCATTCAGTGTCCAGTTGGGTATGAAACCCACTCGTCTTGCAGATATAAATAAACTGGAAAACCTGTAGCGGACCCGAGGGAGAAAGCGAGGCTTTGGGTCAAATTTGGTGGTCTCCGCTAGGGTCAAACGAGTTGCCTTTCAACACTGGAATATGAGGTTTTCAGTGAAAAAGTCAGGTGGGTGGTCGCTCCATCGGGTACACACCGTGTAAACTTAGTCGTGCGAAAACAGGAGACGTTTATCCAAACACCGCAACGAATGGTTTGCACCTTTAAAAAGCTCAGACGAGTCCCCCGGTGCTTAGAGTCACGTGTGTGCGAAGTTGGTCCTGGATATTGCAAAACGAAAGAGCTGGTAAATCGTCGACATCATGCACGAGACGAAAATCGAGAATTAGAAATAAATACGGAGAAATACACCCATATGCATACCAATCTAGTTTCGACAGGAGATCGACCTGGAACCCAGCTGAATCTCTCGTTTACGATGTCTTCAAGAGCTTTCATTAACCTTATGAGTGGCGTATTACGTCTATAAACACAAGTTTATCAGACTACAGGCTTCAGCATGTGGCACTTGATTAACGAATAGCTGTTTTTTGGGAGATAAGGTATGGTGGAAAACATTAGGTGCCATTTGGAATACCCTGGTTTGTCGTGTTCGGTGGTTGGACGATCCATCGTATGCCAACAGTCAATTTGGTGTATGCCTGACTTTGCGATATTAGTTATTCGTGTGAGTTTCATGGAAGGCCAAATCCCCTCGAAGCCTTTCAGGATATATTCGTTAATATTCCCGATGGTTGTCCCATCAGTTGCTCCCCAAAATTTCTGTCACTATTTTCATCCCCCGTATTTGGTGTCACACTGCTTACAGAGGCCTTCCATGATACGCGTGTACAAGTGTTAGTACCTGTTGTGTATGCACAGTATGTTGTATTTGTCTAGAGGGGGCGAAAGATGTAGAGAACAAGCGATTAAGAGATTTAAACATCGACACCTTTCGTAATTTCTGAGAGCACAGCGCATGTTGTCAGATGGTGGCCTGTCTCTCTGGTAACAGGTTGCAAGTAGGCGAACGCCCCGGTGCAGCTCGAGCCCTCAGGCATAAAAAATCGATTAGATCGGTTTACCCGAGCGCTATGGGAAAGATGGTCGTGGACACCTGTGCGATCATAGGAGTTGTTCTCGTGAGAGATAGGAATTTCATCACCAGACTACCATAGCTTCTGAGTCTCGGTGGTCTCCGAGGCGGACTGCTCTACCCTTAATAGCCGTCTCAAGATGAAGCAGAGGAAAATTCAATTGTGAACAGAACAAAACCCAGCTGGATTCTTTCTCGGTGATCGATCAATCCGTTTGTAATGCCGGAAAGCACCCTGAACGCTACGTCTACTACACAGATGCCACGGTCGTTTTCTAACGTTTCCGCGCCCTTTCAAATATTGGAATTATGATCAGTAAGCTCTGCTTTCTGTTGTCGTTCCGCATGGTTTGTCAGGCTGGTTCTAATTCGAGTCGCCAAAGCTGACTGCCTTGTTGCGCCTTAATTCCGTGAATTCACGTTCGAACTCTTGCTGATGAGGGTGGATAGCAATATTCCATTTAGTGTTTCTAGTGTTAGTGTTAGTGGAGGCCGTCCATCGTTTATGGTGACGCTTGTTCGAATGAATGTGTGGAACTATGCTTTTTGCCAACATCTATCTGGTCAGTTGATCGGATCAGTTGAATATGCGGATATCCTCTGTTGTAGGGTTGTTATCCGATTTTTGAGGTTTGCAATTAACGCTCATCCTTCCTTAGGATCTTGATCGTGTGATCTTTAGCAGATCTGCGTGCGCCACTGGGCGCTGTTTGCTAATATTGCTTTGCTGGCATCAGTAGGAGCTAGTCTTGATAACATCTAGGTGTTTCTTCAATTGAAGTCAACCTGGTTTGACAAACGGACTTGGAAGCCGGAAGTACAGCTTTTCTCCGTGTCTTCCAGTCATTTGTCTTTGATGTGTAAACGGCTCGCGACATCCTATTTATTCAGTGCGGCTCATCTCCAGACAGCCTGTGAGGCGCTGCCATCAAATCTGGTCAGTCAATCAGTCATCGTCAACTGTAATAACCGCGTACTTGTCGCACACTGGTTCACTAGTTAGAGTCGAACTTGTTTGTCTCTGAATTCTTGTGTAGATGGCGGGTTTATCCCATCACAGTGATCCAGTTAAATGCCCCGAGCTCCTTTTCTCGGTGCCTTTCCGCTGTTGTAAGATGATCCACGTTGTCAGTCTGGGCCATTTGCGCCGTAAGTTTGTTTGTGTCTCTATAGGCTTGATGCAGCCCACCTCTCCGTCCGTGTGTGACATGCGACAGGGAGAAAAGTGCGGAAAAACTGGATGCCACTAATAAATGATGGTGTTCTGCTGCCGTACCAACACGAGAAGGGATGTCCTGATAGATAGTGGAAGGAACGGGACGTGTTGCAAATATCCGTATGCCCTTATGTATTGTATGGTTCAGTTCTGACACCCTTTCGGTGCCTAGCTACCATGCTAACGGAAGGAGGCACAGGGTGTCCAAGCATATACAAGTGAATAGGAGATGCTGAGGTTGGGTTCGAACCACGGACCTTCCGGATCGTAAGTTGGCGCCTTCACCATTGAACTACCTCGAGCCCGTGTGACCCAATGGAAAACGATCATATCACTTCACCAGCCTGTCCAGTTTGGCTTGCAGCACCATCCTGCTGATTCCCCACCAATTTCCACAGCTGGTGCCAACTCGAGGTGATTAATGCGCGAACTCACCTGAAGATTCGTGGGTCGAACCCAAATTCGCTATCTCGATTGTCTCCGTCTAGGCCTGGGCAACCTGACAATATCTTAGTTCTCGTGCTTCCATTGGGTGGCATCGCAGCTGGGCACCGATATGGTGTTACAGGTGAACGAAGTTAGCAAGCAGCAAGTATGGTGAGAACAGAAGCAGTGCAAGGTGGTGTGAGGAGGAGGTGTTGGTTGTGAAAATCACTGCCGAGGTGCGACTTTTCGTGCACAGCCACTCACCGCGCTATACCGTGGAGTGTCCGTGAGATACTCATACTATCATACCGAGTTGATCAATGGTTGGCGTGGCCAGCACAGTCTCCCAGTTAGAGGTTGGGACATGAGTGGCGGCCTTATCCATAAAAATCGCAATCCACCGGGATTTTTTCATCAAACAGGCTTTTGAGTCAAAGGCTTTGTCGAGGACCCTGTCCGTCTTCATATCTAGGTCTGGCCGCCATGGCAGTATCCCAGCCCACGTACAAACCTGATACTCACAACTAACAACACTCGTGCTACACCGGCCGTCGCATGGCTACAAACCGGGTGGCCCTTTTTGCTGCGTACAGCACGGCAGATAAGCGAAAACATGCTACTTCCGACGTCTCCTTTCGTACCCTTTCACGTATTCCCTCACCAACCCTACCTCATCTCAATCTGAATACTACCCGCAAGTCCCAGTACTAGGACTGATGGCTTTGTTTACCGTGCATCACGTTCAACGTCAACTGTGTTCGATATCAGGAAAAACCTGAACACTTTTAAGTGTTTAAGTGAACACACGCCAGCCTACTTAGCCGATGTTAATGTTCGCACACAGAAGCAAGCAGGAAAATAAGCGGTTCTTGCTCGTACGTTGGATGCCCTCTACAGTGATGTACGCTGTAGACTGGAATGCCCCCTCATTATCTTTCAGGTTCTGGCCGCGTACCTCCGGTGATGCGGAGGCCGCTGCAGCTGGATATGCCCGGGGCGTGTATTGTATTGAGCAACCGGGCGGAAGTGACTCTGCTTGATTGGACATCCGTCGGTAGTTTCTTCTGTGCGGTTCGTTTGGTAATTCTGTAAAATAATCCCGAGAAAGCGGTCATCGGACCCTGTTTCTTGCGTCTGCTTATACCCGACGGATCGTAGCACTGAATGTCCAATAGACAGCTT